CCCGCCTCTGTCGGTCTGCTGGGGATGAGATGCGGTGGGTCGTCCGCTGATGCTGCTGATCTTGCTGTCGGTCCTGCCGCTGCAGCTACTTATCGAGGAGGATGCATGCGGTGACGATGCCGACGAGAAGAAGTGCCGAGAAGATGGGAATGCTCCACCCTCCGATCAACTCCACTATGAAGTCAAAGAGCGCCATATTCATCGCATCTCACGACAAGCGGCGGAGGCGGACCAACTCGTCGCCGGTTGTCAGGTCAGCAAATGCCCAGAGTGCGTCACCTGGGAAGAAACCAGCCAACAAACGTGACCTCCTCCTCAGCGGGAGATCTGCAGCTACCAAATAGCGAGCCCCAGAGCGATCCGCGCGGCCCGCTGCCCTGTGCATTGCAAAAGGCCCTGCCTGACGAGCCTGCTTACCGAACGCAACGCGATGAAGGTGCTCGCGCCGGTGCTGCTGACTCTTCTGCTCCTCCACGTCGCACATGCCCGATATCGACAGCCCGAGAAAGAAGAGGTGCGCAGGCATCGCCACGCATACGCACTATCTCGCACTCACTTGATGAGTCTGCTTGCGTCTCTGCAGGCGGCTGACCGACGGCTGGGCAGTCCCGAGACGTGAGCACACACGACATGCACCCGCTGCAGTCAGTGGCTGGGCCGCGACTCATCGATGCGTTTGCACTGTGCAGGGGCGGCGAGATGGAGAAGCTTATAGGTGATCTGCAACAGTATACCATCCAAGGCTTCGGGCCCGCACTCAAGTCTGAGCGCATCATCGCAGCGATGCGCAAGGTAGACAGGCAGACTGCAATGGCTGCATGGGAAAGTCGTACGCACCGGTTTGCTGCTCTCTTTCTTTCTTCTTCCCTTGCCTGTAGGTCGACAGGGGGAAATACGTCAAACAGCAGAAATACATCAACGAACCTACCGATATTTGTAAGCGGACAGGCAAAGAGGCCCTCTGGCCCCATCATATGGATGTGGCTGTTGTATGTCTCCGGCAGCGCATGGCCAGACGATCTCTGCCCCTCATATGCACGCGGCTGCGCTGGAGCTCCTGAAGGACCACCTCACAGAGGGCAGCTCGGCACTGGATGTCGGTAAGGACGGATGGCAATCAATGGCACACGTGCACGTGCTGATGAGCGTCTTAGTGGTTCAGGTTCCGGCAGTGGCTACCTGACGGTCTGCATGGTGGGCGATGCTGCGCAACACACATGAGCGTTGATGTCGTATCAAGCTCATTAGACGAATGCATGAATGCCCTGCAGGCCCGGTTGGTGGGGATTTTGGATGACAACAACCAAGTGCACGAGGACAAAGGCAAGGTGGCTGGCATCGATGTCATACCAGGTCCACACAGCACAGGCACAGCCAGCGCACTTCAATTCATGGATTGATGGATGGCACCTGGCGGGGCCGCTGTAGAGCTGGTGAAGACATCCAAGGAGAATGTCAAGAATGACGTGGGGCCTGAGCTGCTGGAAGCCGACAACTTCAAGGCATACACCCTTCACACACAGGCAGAAGACAACGCCACAGTCTTGCTATGGTGTTTGTCAGCTGGAGGAGGGCGACGCGCGGAAGGGCTTTCCTCCTTTCGCTCCCTACGACGCCATACACGTGGCAGCCGCCGCTCCCTCCGTCCCACCACAAGTGAGACATCGGACGGATGCAGAATGACGGCCTTTCTCGCACGTATTGGATCGTGTGTTTCTTGCCCCTGCTAGGCTTTGATCGACCAGCTCAAACCTGGTACGTGCCGCCAAAGAGTGCTGCAAATGTCTCACTCACCATTGCGATTGGTGCCTGGGGTGGATGCAGGTGGCAAGATGGTGATCCCTGTGGGTCCAAAGGAAGGCCCGCAGGACCTGTATGAGGTCACCAAGGACGCCAGCGGACACACCAGACAGAAAAAAATATTCGGAGTGGTGAGCCATACAGCTATTCGGCGTGCAGCCAGACATTTGCTGCATGCCATTGGTTTGTGTGCGTTTGTCCAGCGCTATGTGTCGCTGGTGTAGAAGGATATGAAGACGGGACGGTGTCGCCGGCAAGGTGCGTGGTGCGTGGTGGCTGGGTGGCTGGGTGGGTGGCTGGGTGGCTGGAGCAATTGCAAACAAATGGATGGCGGATGTTGAGTGGCTCGCCGCATTCATGAGAACGAACTGGTCAGACGTAAGTACTCTTTCATCATGGAAGCGATGTCCACTGCCATACACAAGCATGTAGACAG